AAGCAGAAGTGACCAACAAATTGGTTTCTATGATAAAAGATTCGAATTACCTTTCTTCTTAGTCTCCAGATATTGAGGACAGTTCCTCTTCTAGTAGTCGGCCTGTTTGCAGAAGTGACAGGCATTCGATGCTTTATCCTTATTCTGCTTCTTAACTTTGCTACTTTTCTTCTGAGCCTTCTCTTTAGCCTTCCACTTTCTCTTGCCCGATTTGCCACCTTCAACAAGCATGGCTATCACTTTATCCTTCTTAGTCAGTCTTCAGCCCTCTACAACATATTGTTGAGTTCCTGATGGCTAAAATTTAGCTTATTCATGTTGTAGTTCATGGTAAACTAATAGAAGGAGGGAGGCAGGGAATTGAGGATAGCATCAATTTTAGTGTCATGGTCTAGCCCTGACCCGAGAGCCTTCAGTTTTATTAATATAACCCATCATCTTTAGACAATGGTCATGAACCTGTTGGTTCTTGGTCCTCTGTGTGGTCATAAACAACTTTAAGACCTTCTGACGAGTAGAATGGACCTACTCTTCATACATAGTCTTTAGACTATCCAATATGTCCTTGAACACTTCGATCTTATCGAATTGCCTCTGTATCGAATTATCTAAAGAGGCTATAATGTAACACCGGGCAAGAGAATTTTTCTCCTCCCATTCTTGATACTCTCTTCGTCTGGCCTCATAAGCCCTATCACCCGGACGATCCAGAGCAGGGTTTTTAGCAATTTTGTCCAATTTCTCGGACGTTAGGACSAGCATAAGGTTACGGAACCAGTTAGCATAATTTGGGCCCTTAAGCTTGTTGTTGTCCAACAGTTTAGCGAATTGACCGTTAGCCATTTCTAATAAAGGGTAAAACAAATATTAGTCCACAACCTTATTTGATTCATGTTATCTAGATAGATATGGCTTTTAATCTATGTTCCATTTCCATTTATTCATCTCTGAGATTTCCTTCCTATCTCAATGACGGAGACTGCAAATTATGTCTCTGGAAATGTGGGAAATCACATAAGGTGCATGGAGCCAACTGTTTCAGCTGCATAACCCCATCACCTTTCTATGAAGGATCATATCCACTCATCTTATGAGCTTTCCCTTTGGCCTCTGTCAGAAAAGGTTCATTGCCATTTTAGGTTAAACCTTTATGTCCAGTGAGTGCTCACCCATCATATTCGTGAATGCCAAGGTACCGTGAGAGAGTCTTTCATTTTATGATAGGCCCCTCCCACATCGGTCTATGACGCCCCTATCATCTTGTGAAATAATCCAACAGAGCCAGCAGCAAATGGATAACCCAATTTTATGGTGCGTTTCCTCATTACTAAAGAACTCATCTTCATGTTAATGATGGAAGGCCTTTAGAGAATTCATCATATGAATCTYCCTATCACATGCACTCATATTTCAGTGGAGGGAACGAAATATTACGCCTTAGTTTAATTTAGGTCAAACCAAAGTGGCTCCTACTAATTTTCATAAAGACAGATTTAGATGGGCCCTAAACGGCTAGGGTTTCGCACGGTTTCTCTTGGGGAGGAAGCTGGAGTGGGGCCCACCATGAAGGGAGATCATCTAATGATCTTAGGGACACCATGGCAAAGATGTGCATTCAGCCATGGTGTGCGCAAGAGCCACTATCGTATCAGCATGGGCCAAGTACTTATGGCCCATGAACGTTGCACATCACACATCCATACATTACATGCATGAAAATCATAATTGATCCAATCAATTTAATAACTGTAAAACCCATAATTAAAGCCCATAAAAATTCATAATATTACTAATTAATATTATCTAGGTATATGGGCTGAATTGCAAGTAGCAGTTTGGCCAATATAGCTTTTATGCTGAAATGGGTTAAAGTAGTTTTAATATATTAAAACGGGGTTTTACAGATGTGGGCTGAATTGCATCTTGCAATTAACCATCAACTCCTGGACCCATATGTAGAAAATTAGGGCTGAGAACAGCCCCATCGAACCACAGATTCGGTCTAACCAGTTTGGTCCAATCTGGTTCGAATGGGTCTAGGGTTTGATATTTAATTCAAGAAAATTGATTTGAAATTAAATAACTGAAACAAGACAATCAAGAATAAGTAGGAGGGCTGTTCGTAGGACTGCTACCCTACAAAACAGAGGTTAGTTCGCAGTATGCAGTTTCCAAAACTGCAAATCGCAGATGGTCGAACCCTAATCTACGAAATTCTCTTCCTCTACGCAATCTGCTTCAACTTCGAGTGGAATAAAATAGAAAAATCAATTTTCTATTAATATTACATCAGAATTAAATTCCTATACATTCTGTCTAAAAATTAAAAAGAAAAAATTAATTACAGACCAAGAATGAAAAGAGCAGCAGGTGCGCAGATTTCTTGCGCCATTAAAGAATTCGATCTCCATCGTACAAACAGCCCAAAAGTCAAGAAAAATATATAGAACAATTTTATAAATATTTAATTTCAGATCAATTGCCCAAAAACTGGGAACAAATTTCCCATAAAGCGCTAATCTGCGCAAATCGGGTAGAACGCCTTCTGCCCATTTGAGTAGATCCAGATCTGGTTAATTTTGGTTCAAGATTTGAACCTGACTCTGATACCATTGAAGGGATGAGAGATCCATCATATGGATGGCCAAACCCTGCAGGAAGGTTGGGCGAAATTTCAAGAATTTATCTCTCTCCCATGTGGGAATCACATTCCCTATTTTAGAAAACTGCATTTTCAGGGATCAATCTTGAAACAAAACCGGACCAAATCTGAAACCAAAAGGTAGGAGAGGGATACGCCTGATACGGAGTAACAATAACTCCCAACGAAGGTGTTCACGCCCAAAGAGAAAAACCAAAGACTGCTCCCACTGAAGATGACACAGTGTGAGGTGGAGCAGAATCAGCAAGATGGCTCTTCAGCAAGAACCAAGTTCTTCAGCAAGAATGTGATGGAGGGCTAGTGAGCACGACTTCATATTAGCTTTTCAACCAAAAGGTAATATCAAGAACCTTTCTTGATCACTCCTATAGGTGGAGATTGAACTGACAGGGGGGCAAGAGTAAGAAAGAGCAGAAGACAGGAGCAGTCGAACTGCAGATTCTTCTATCTTTGTAATCTGTGAACTGAGAATTGTGTATTGGAGGTTCTCCCTGCTCCTCTATTTATAGCCTTTAAAGAGAGCATCGGCTTATCAAATTTTTCTATTTGAAGTTCCATCTTCTTCAAAATCAGGCTGGCATTTGGTAATATTTGTTGGAAACAGTTTTGGCGAGTTAAGAATATCCCACCTAGATAGAGCATTATTTTTCTTTTGGAGATGTCTCTCACATGTTCTTCCAGCGGTTTCAGAGTTGACCAGACGCCATGCTTTAGGGTGGATGTGGATGAAACAGAGAAGATCATCTCTTCTTAGGATGCTCTGCCACCTGCCCTATTTGGTTCCCTTTCCACCTTTCATTCGGATTGGTTGCAATAGAGAGTGAGGATTAAAAGAATGGACGAATGAATGGGCCCATCGAGATGGCCTGTGGTGCTCAAATCGGCTTTCCTTGGTAGCTCAATGCTTTATTCTTTTGTGACATATTTAGAAAGCGAGACGTAAAAGTAAGGGAGGTTTGTCACTTTGAGATCGGATTCAGTCCTCACAAGACTGCTCACACCGTTCATACAGTCCCTTGCATCCTTGCATTGGGAATATCTCTTTACTTGCATGCTTGTTCTTCATGGGGACCATGGTCTTGTGAGGACCAAATTCGATATCTGTCGCTTTGACAGCCAATCAGTTCATGCTACTCATGCTTAGATCAGTGAGTTAGTGTAAGAAATCTCTGGAAAAGCAAACTTAAATCCTTTGGCCCATTCTACTACTAGAAAGTCTCAGCAGTGAAGAGAAATTATGATGGTGCTCTATATAATTTGCATGGTGGTATTGGAGTGATCATTAGGGACTCTTCTGGTTCCTTTTGTTATGGCCATGCCAAAAGCCCTTCACTGTTCTCCTGAAGAGATCGAAGCCCAAGCAAGCTGGAATTCAATTGGCTCTTCAAATGGGTGCCTCTAATGCTGAATTTGAAGAGGCTCCAGTACAGTTGCTAAAAGTCTGTTTGGGAAAAGTCTTGAACCTCCTTGGCGCATCAAATACTTGATAGCAGATAGCACATATGGCAGACTGCTTTTAAGGAGGTTCCCTCATTGCTCAGTTCATTGGATTGCCCCCAAGGCTACTCATAAAAATTGCTAAATGCGTCCTCTCTATTCCTTGTGTCCATACTTGGTCCATTGTACCTGATTTTTTATGTGAAACATTAGCAGTGGGTTATAAAGAACATGTTAATGAAAATTTTCCTTTTTCCACAGGGCTCTCTGCCTTATGGCTGGTTTCCTTCAAAAACAAAATTCTAACCCAATTATAATTGAGATACTAATGCAGACCCAGATTCTATACTGACAACCCTAATCAAAACTTAGTATACCTTGCCCAACCCATTGACAACCCTAACCAAAACTCTACATTTTATATGCCAAGTGTGAGACGGTTTGTCTTACCAATTACCATTCGACCCAAAGAAATTTTATTTCAGTTAAACTTGAAATTGGACCAGTGCGTCTGATGCTCTGATTCCGAATTAGGCTGCATTTGGCATTCCTTATTTTAAGGATTTTTCTCATTTTTTCAGTGTTCATAGAGGCATTTTAAGTGCAAAAGGGAGATAAGTCCTTAAAATAAGGAATGCCAAATGCAGTCTTAGAGACCATTTGGGAGGGTTTCTGTGTTGATTGAACTGCATTGACTGAACCATTTTGGAGAAGGTACCTGACATAACTTCACCTGAAAGTCAATTTTACAGTTTATAAAAAACCTATTTTTGACTTTCCGGGTTTTTACCAAACACGGCTTCATGACATTCCAGGTTCTTCAGCTCATGTAACACCAGAAGCCGCTGCATAAAAGCCTGGGGGAGGGGGAAGGGATAGACAAAGAACAAAACAACTTCGATGGAGAAAATCAGCAGAAGAGGCAATATATCAAGTGTTTGTAAATTGAACGAGAGAGACATCAATGTTTGCTTACGTGAGAAAATTGCAAACAAATTAGGAAAAGAAAGAATTAACATTTTATTCCATTTCCTTTTATCCTTTCCCTTTCCTCAATTGTTTCTCCAAGCCTTACTTCTGCCTCTTGTATATCTTCTCCAAGAAAGACTTCAACACAGCTTGCACTGCTTTGCTTGGATGAGCTTCAATGGAGGAGATTAACTTCTCGTAGCTCTTACTCTCATACTCAGCAAATACACCCTGCAATGTTACAAAGGGCCTTAAATCCATTCCATCCAAACATGTAACATATATACACGATAGGAAACATGGCAAGGCAGAAATTTAGTTCTTCTAAAGATTCCAAGATATTGCAAAATCAGAAAGAATTACAAGACTGATTATTACAACTAATTCAAGAGTGCCTTGTTATAAATTTCCTATGAGCATCCTAGTATCAAAATGCAGTCTCATGAGAGCCCAGATCTCCCGCAAGCAAAAAATCTGCACACATAGCATCCAGACACACACGTAGGGAATATCCGCCTACATGTTTGTTAAATTCATGGGGAGATTTTCCCAATGTGTGATTGGATTCTCATGCTTGCAGAGTGTGTGCAGGTTTTCTGCTTGCAGGAAATCCCATCGTGTCTCACAATGTAATACCATTTCTTCACCCAACCATTTTAGCTCTGCCCAATTTCATAAAGCTTTCACTCAAGTCTTTTTTTATCAAAGACCCTTATAATACGAGGCATCAACCTCTGCTAAAGGTCTGATTATGCGATTACCTCTTCTATGTCCAGAAAATAAATATTACAGTAGTAAGATACATTAATAATGATTGGGGTCCACACCATGAATTCTACATGTCATATCCTTCTATGTACTTGCAGCTACCATATGTTTTAAAGATAAAAAATGCTGATCCGTGGTTCCTTTAGCTGTAATTTGGGCTGTTTGGTTAGAAAGGAAATGCAAGATATTTCAGTCTAACACCCTGTTGAATGTGTAATTCCTCTTTCAAATTTATCAGGGTTTGGCTGAAAAGTAATAGCTTATTCGTGGGTAATTTCAGCCATTTGTTTTTGGCTGTGGACTACTTTTTGAGAATTCTTAGCCGCCCTGTGGCTTTTTGTACAGAATCTCGTTGTTAGTGAATGTTAAGTTTTATAAATTACAACAATATAACTGATACCAATTGGAATACTATATACAAAGAAAGCATGAATAACCCTTGGCGTGCGCACAGAGAGAGAGAGAAAGAGAGAGCAAACCTGAAGATTGAGAGCATTATAGAGTTCCTTTACTTTTGCAACCAAAATTGGATCTGGTTTTCCATAACACTCCTAAAATAAAATAACTACAAATAAGCAAATTCACTAGGGAAAATAAGAAATTTCAAAGCAATGGACATGAAAACTGTAATCTTACATGTAATAATTTCTTCTGTTCTTCGTTGGCAAGTTCAAGAGCTTTCACAACCAACCATGAGCACTTAAAATCCTCGATATCTGTTCCTATCTGATAATTAAGAAACCACAATGAGAAGTTGAGAACAAGTTGAGAAGTTGAGAACAAGTCAAAACCTTACCTTACCAATCACTTCAGGATCACCGAAACAATCCAAATAATCATCCTAAAAGAGAAAAAGAATGCGGAATATTCACATGAACACCAGAAAACCACATAGGCAAATAATGGAACTCAAGGGATATTAGGAATTTCAATAGTGCAAAAGACAATCACCTGTACTTGAAAGTAGGTTCCCATTTCAATAAGAATGTTCTTTACATCAATATGTTTGTCCAAATTCTCACCAGCCATAAGCAATGCACATGCGACCTATGAGATCAAGACATATATAAATAAGAATTGTCAGATTTATTATCTTGCTACCAAAAAGAATATTGATAATTATAATAAAAGTAGGATCTAGTGTTATTGATATAATTTATGAAGCATAAGAAGGCGTCTTTCTTAGAGTGACATATTCTGGTTCACTTTGGATAATTAAGGAAAAGGTAAGATGATATAAATGAATAATATAGTAATACGCAAGCCAAGGAATTAAAGAGCAAGGAAAGCATTTTGAACCACAAATAAATCAAGCAGAGACAACTCTGGCAGAGAGTTCCTGATTAAGATTACTGCAGATGATGAATACTCAAGTTGGAACCAATGGGAAATAATGGAAATAAGTTCTGCATAGTGGTTATTCTCTAGTACTGGAGATAGATCAATACTAGAGAATGACATGCCACATGTGGTTTGCAATTTACATAATTTTTTGTATATCAATTACTTTCTTAGATTGTTTTCTACAATTTGCAAGTGCCAGTACTCTGGCCTGGTAATGAGGAAGGAGGAAATGCTCCTCCCGTACATGCCTATAAGGATGGTTTAAGATCTCACACTAGCAGTTGGAGTTATCACTATGTCTTGATCATCCAACAATATTAGTCTGGATTTTGCAGACCAGTAATTGTTAGGTTCACTTGGAAGATAATCATGGGTAAAAAATCTTATCTGTGTGGTGTGCTCTTGACCATCCATCCACCAATTGCACCCATTTGGGCAATTTCCAAGTAGTAAAATAAAAAATCCAGACTAATATTGTTGGATGATCAAGGCATAGTGATAATGCCAACTGCTAGTGTGAGATCTTTAACCATCCTTACAGGCATGTATGGGAGGACCATTTCCTCCTTCCTCATTACCAGGCCGAAGTACTGGCACTTGCAAATCATAGAAAGCAATCTAAGAAAGTTATTGATGTACAAAAAATTATGTAAATTGCAAACCACATGTGGCAAGTCATTCTCTAGCAATAACAAAATCTACAGAGTTATTTCTTTTTAAGAATAAAATAGTATAAATAAGATTCTGAAGAAATATGTGCATTCAACTATATGGAAGTTGAGCGATTTGAAACTCTACATATTTCAAAGAGGCAGATTAATGTTCAAGTGGGCAGTCAAGCATAACAAGTCGATGGATCTTCTTGCAGGTTGGCAAACTTGTTGGATGATACCAAGAAAAAAAATGAAATGACCATACAGACAATTGAAAATAAGAAAAAAAAAAGAGGCAAAACAAAAGATTTTAAATCAAAGCAGTGAGCATCAAGCAAGCTTCCAAGACTAAAGCTTCTATATTCAAGTATTTCTAGGATATCATGAAATATGTGCAAGAAGAAGTTGGCATTCTTGGTGTGGACAGAAGTGATAAAGGATAGCCTAAGACCCTAAGCAGGAGATGGTTGGAGTTGGACTCGTTGTGGTATATTCTATGTTCAGCAACAGTGGAGAGAACAAATCGTCTTTTTTCCACTGAAATGTGTCAAATCAATTATGGGTGAAGTTTTCTTCCTTACCTGATATCTGAAAGGTTTGAGCAAAAGAGGAAAGTTGATATGGGAAATGATACCCCAGATGATTTTTTGGAGTATTTGGAGGGGAGATAAATACTTTTATTATTGAAAATAAGATATGCTCAACCGATATGCTAGTGAAGAAGGCACTGAGTACTCATTGTTGTTGGCTGTCAGATCACAAAGCATTTAAAGGAATCCCATACAAGTTATACAACTCTTTTATTTATTTATTTATTTTGATAGTCTGTTCATGAATTGTAATTCTTGGCATATACTACTATTTTATTGTACAGTGCATTGGTGTACATGGGTGCTGACCTTTTGTAATCACTGCTATATGATAATGAAACTCTACCTGTTTCAGAAAAGAAGTATAGGAAAACAAAAACAGATTTGTACTGGACTAGCATCACTGAGTAGTTCTTTAAGAAAACATTACGAAAGAGATGAATATTATCATTAAAACCTAAATATTGATGCATTAGAATAAAGATTTTTTTCCCATTTTCACTCACCGGAAGGTAAAATGAATAATAGGCAGTCTTGTACTGGACAATGCGATGGTGACTGCACGCATCCAAATCATAAAGTTAGCAAAGACCATCAGAATTTTGACATGATTAAAACCAAAACTTATCCATAGTGGAAGTTAATATTGAGAAACAATGGGAAGAGTTTTGGGACAGTACATGGGCAAAAAGAAAACATAATATTATCAAAGAAATAAAAGATATTTCTAGAGGCCTAGACATCATATATGCCAAGGCCAGCTAACCACATATAATTAGGTCAAGGCTTAGATGACAATGATGATTAGTCGTCCAAAGGCCAATGCAGTATGTTACTAGGACAAGTTAATGGAGACATTGGTTTGTCCATCAATGGCACAAAACTTCAGTTCATGCATTCTATATCATGGAATAAATTTATCTAGGCATTGATTGGTTACAATAGAGGTGTTTGTAGAAAAGAGTATATAGAACAAGTTTATGCATCACTGAAACCAAGCCGTAATCCTCTACCAAACACTTGTTAATTTCTGACATTGCTATATTAAGAAAAACGCAATATGGTATTTTCTACCAAGGGGAAATATTTAATTTCCTGCATTTCACACCATAAATGAGACTTACCAATTAATCAGTCAGAGATACCAGTCATGCAAACAAGTGTAGTAGAATGCATGTCAGAAATCCTCGTCTCTAAGGCTGTGTTTGGTTGCAGTGCGAAGAATTTGCACTGATGCAAAACTATAATAGTGCAAACAATTTGGCTGCAAGTTTTGATTTATTTTTGTTTCAAAATTTACCTTACTTTGTTTGCTTGCATTAAAAATGAAGTAAAATAAGACCTAAAGCAGAATAAAGTAAAACCTAAAACAAAATTAAACCAAAATTTGCATTTTTTTCATTTGCACTCCCATACATTTGTACTAGTGCAAATAAAATTGCACTGCAACCAAACACAGCATAAATAGTAAATACAGCTTAAGAAACATTTCTTTTCTCACTTACACTGGGATCGTGTACTTGGATAGATCTTTTTGTCCTTCATGTGTAGTAATCAAATCTATCATTTGTCCTGAGGCTGTCTGGAACTCCACCTGGTAAACAAAAGAGGAACCAGCTAGACTTTCAGTATTTGACTAAAATGAAAGAAATGAATTTCTCATGCATAAAGACAACAACCTCATTAAATAAATCTAGAAGATCCACGTAGTAAGGCTTTTCTCTGAAGTGTCTTCTGAGAATTCTAGAAATATGGTTACGAAGGATAATCCCATCATTCACAGCAATAATGCCAACCTATAACGAAAAAATTTACATTAGTAATGTTAAGTTGAATGACAAATAAAACCAAATGGACTAAAAGTACTGTAGAACATGCTCACTATAGCCACATACTTCGGGCATTCTGAACCAACAAGGTTGACCACGGCGTGTGTGAGAGTTGTCCATAATATCATCAAGAACAAGAAAATAAGCTTGAAACTGCATGTTTAGTTGTCAAGGAATCAATCTCATACACTAACAAATAAATGATAACAAAATTGGTACAACAATATTCTAGTAAGGAGTTCAGGGTGGTTAGAAGCCAAGGATTGTGCCCGGTGCCATACCCATTCAATGCACCAACCAAGTGCACATGCTAGAAAGATTTCATCTTCTGGAAGTTCTCTTCCTTCTTGCAGCAGCTTATAGCTATCAATCACAGAGAGACCTCGATTCAGCTTTCCTGCCAACAAACTATTAAGGTAAGAGTAGGCCATGTTACTATAGATAATACATTCCTATTTCAGTCAATTGCTTGTTGAATTTTTAAGTACAATATCATGAAATATCAGATTCTGTGTGTGTGTGTGTGTGTTTTATTGAAACAGAATATGATAGTAGTATAAATAGTCTGCTTCTTACCTCCAGGAACATTGTACTCCAGCATCTGCAATAGAAGGTACAAACAAACATGATTAGACTACGAACAAGCTAAACCCACCTCATAAAAAGCAGTAGAAAATACACAGAAAGTTTTCAAGTAACTCATTATCTAAGATATGCACAATGCATATTTATGCTTGAAAATGATACTTCTTTTTATTTTTTAATTTTTTTTATCAATAACAAAGGCAATTTCATTAACAAAGAACAATTAAGTTGAATGAAAAGGTGGGGAGAGATAAACTCTCTTAGCTCTCCCCAAGGAAGAATCAAGTTACAACATAGCCCAAAACAAATTGCTCCTTCCTACCCCTTGTTTAGCCAGTATGTCAGCAAATGCATTGGCTTCTCTTCTCATTGGCTTGAAAGTGATACTGACAATATTTATGTTATAAATTCCCCTGGCCTCTAGAAATTACCATTAAATTTTTCAGAATAAAAACTAACAATGAAAAATAAATAACATGAATAAAAAATTAATCATTTTGTGAAGAAGTATTCACATATTTCAATTACTTGAACATTTATTAGGACTTAATTTATTATTTCCATCCTTGTGTGAGATTTACAACCTGGCATTCTGGTACCAAAGCTTATCCGTGTATTATGAATTTAATGTGCGAATGGAAAAGAAGATCTAAAGTTGCAACCTGGCTAGCTAATATAAACATAATTTGACAATTTCTGTTTGTTTTATTATTCTGTTCACATTTCATTTTATTTTTTGGCAAAGGGGGAAGGGAGCATATACATATGCAAGTAGAATTAATGGTTCCACTTTGGCACTTTGACATCTGCAATCTTTATTTTTCTGGGGCGAGTCAAAACAAAAAGGTGCTTGAAAGGGATATTTTAGTTGAGAAAATTTACCAACTTCAACAGCATTGCGTTTACATGTTTGGTAACTGAAGTAGTAGTTAAATCTCCTAAGAGGTGGTTATATAGCAAGAACACAATCTCATGGAAATGGTCCAGGAGAGTCAAGATTCTACTTTTACAAGGATGGACAGCACCATAAGAAGTGATTTTTTGCAAGTTGAAGGAGCTAGAAGGGATAGGGGTAGACCAAAAAAGACATGGATAGAAGTAGTAAGAAATGATTTAAGATCCAATAATTTAACAATAGATATAGCATCAAACAGAACCAAAATGATAAAACAGGATTATGTATCCAACCCTATATAGTTGGGGTAAGGCTTAGATGATCACGATTTTACAAGGATGGGCAAAACATATGCACAAAGATGAAAAATCATCCGAATGCAATATCATTCCTATCGCTGTAAAGTGACAGAGAACCAGCAAAACCTCTGGCAACAATAGGTATCCAATTCCAGCTCAGTAACCTGCACATTCTACTCTAATTGCTTACACATGTAGCAAAGTCTTCCTTTTCAACTTTCTGACAAGGTAGGTAGTATCTTTATAAACCCATATCATTATATCTATCAAGCTAGATCATTTATTCATTCACTCCATTACTTCTCTCCTGTGCTACCATATGACCCCTTTATAGGATCTGACTTGTTAGGACTTAGATCTACTTTATAAAAGCAATTCCCTTTTTCCCCTCTCCTACTTCCCTCAAGCTCCTCATCTCCTTTTATTCAAGGATATCATGCTTAATCAAACGGATTTCCACTTAATTATCGTAGCTCTGCACCATGACTTGAGCAAACAAAGCAAAAAAAGAATCCCCCTTTTCAACCCTTTTTCCCCAAGAAGTAAAAGAAAACTAATGTATAGATAACAGAATAAAACAAAACAACAAAGATAATTCTACCAAGCACCCAGATTACTGGAACAATCAAACCAGAGCTTTTGCATCCAATTGAGTGATGTTAAGCATTCAAACACTAAACATTCAGTATTAGCAGGAACAAAGAAAAGAATAACAACAATTACGGATCTTTAGCAGTAACGAAGAAGAGGAGGAAGCGGAAGAGCGCGTTACCCTGTCGACCCATTGACGAGAATCATCGGTGAAGTCGAAAGCGGGGTCTTGGAGCAGCTCAGATTTCAGGGTAGAGTATACCCTGCGGAAGGTCGACTTCATATCGGTCGCTGCTCCGTTCAAAGCCGCCATGGTAGAGACTAGACAAGTAGCGCAATGCGGAGACGCAGGAGATGACCGGGAGAGATGATACAGAGGGTCACTTGTTCATGCCCATGTGAATATAAGCACTACAAAGAATCACAAAAGACAAGTAAAAGGATGTGACATCCATGAAAAAATAAAAGGAAGATGTTACTTGATAATTCCACAAAAGGAATAGTATGGTATGGTATATACCAACTTCGGAGAATTCTTCCATTCACATTCACAGCTGCACTTGTTTACATCACGACAATTAGAATTTAATTTTTTTTGTATGTAAATTTATATTTTATATTTTGGACAAAATTGTATATTAAACAGTGTTTTCATGAATTTCTTGAATAAAAAAATGGCCTGAATAGTACCTTTTTTGTAAAAAAATAATTTAATTGTGAAAATAATAAATCAAAGAAATGTAATTAGTTTTATACATACTATATGTAATTTTTTCTTTGGATAGTAATGAGCATTTAGCACTTGGGTTAGGTGGTCTCTGGTTAGAAGTGAGAAGTGGATTCAAACACTAAAATCAAAAGTTTTTTGTTCTAAAGTCACTAAAAGCAAAAGTTAAACGCAAGCTGAAATGTGGAAGAAAACCCAAGGGATGTTTGATTCCGTTGGAGTTTATTGAAAAAATGTCATAATGAGTAGTATAAGGGTGTTTGTGTTTATTGCGCAGTGTTTGGTTTTATTATTTATCAAATAAACACTAAGAAATTAAAATGTTTGGCTTTTTGTGCATGGGACATTTAGGGAAACATCAGATTTTTGTTTCTCTAACACTCCAGCATTTTTTTGAAACTAAATGCTGATGTGGCATGTTTTTATGAGTGTTAATCTTAGGTGAAAAGCAATAAATGTTTAAAGTGCCTATCTAAACAAAAAAAAAAAGTAAAAACCATTTAAAATAAAAAATATTTAAAGTAGGATAGTACATATAAATGCTTAAAATAATAAATGGCCTCTTTGTAAACCATGGTTTTTAAAAATGAACCGGTGATCAAACCGGTCAGGGGTCCGGTTACCGGTTCGAACGGTCCAACCGTTTGACCCAAACGGTCGACCCGTTCTAAAAAAAAATAAAAAATTTTAAAAAAGATTAAAAAATTGGAAAACGGTTAAAACCGTTCGAACCATTCGAACAATTAGCCAGCCGGTTCAATAGTTTTCTGACCAAAATCAACAGTTTTGGAGGAAAAAACAGTTTTGGAGGAAAACGAAACCAATTAAGTGACCGGTTCCCGGTTTTTCCAGTCTGACCATCCAGTCCAGTCTGGTTTTGAAAACAGTGTTGTAAACTCCACCGGAACCAAAATATACCTCACCATAAAAATCAAAATTAGTGAAAGCAAAACTAAGACTGAAAGAAACCTTGATATTAAAAAAGTAAGAAACAAGAACAACAGTCAATGAATGATAAGAGAAAAGAAAATTAAGATAAGAAAAGGCATCGATTTAAGATAGGTAACAAATTAAGGTGCAAAAAATAAAGGATGGAAGTCTTGAGCTTACCGTAGATCACTGTATGGGTTCCTTGTAGAGCTGCCAAAAGAAAATGCAAAAGAAGTTGGAACAAACAAGGAGAGAGAGAGAGGGAGCTGCCAAAAGAAAAAGCAAATGTTCAAAATATCTATACAGGGCATATCAGCCTATATCGTGGCTCAACTTTTCTTTTTTATTTTTCTTGTTCAATTGGTTCAGAGGGATCGGGATCTGTTCCTCACACATGGGCACCTCACAGACACATCCACCGTACATTGGGAACATCTATGAATAATAACTTATAAATACAGGAAATGTTCCCAATGTATGGTAGGATGTGCGTATGAATAGGTGTGAAGCACCCTGTGTGAGGAACAGATCTGGTTTCAAGTCAGTTAGTTTAAGGCCCTTCTACCTCTTGAACCAGGTCAGACCCCAAAAAACCCTTGTAGCAATGTATCAAAAACCATAGCTATGATATGGGAAGCCCCGAAACACCCCCTGTTAATGCGTTGGGTCTAGGTACGTACAATCAGTCCTGGACCAATTATTAATAGGAACAAAATCACAGATCCCGAACCATTATAGTTAATAGTTGGGTCTAACACAATAAACCTGATTAATGATAAAAAAATATTAAATTATTTATATATTAATAAATTAAACATTTTTAATTAATATTATTTTATTTATTATCTATCAAATGTATCATTTTAAACATAAAATATGATAAAAATTATAAGAAAATAAAGAATATATATAATAAAATAATCGGTTCCAGGTCTGAATCAATTCGGGACAGACAAGAATTAAAACCAACCCAATTATTAATTGAGACAAAATTATAAAACCAAAACCGTTATAATTTATTCGATCAGTTCGGATCCATCGGGTAGACCCACCCATTAGCAGCCCTAAAGAGGTGATAGTGAGTTTAACTGTTGAACAAAACTTCAAAATTAAGGTAGAGTGATTATCAAGTAATAGAAACGGTTTTGATAGAGGTGGAATTTGGTAATTGGTCATGTGCTGAAAAAATGTCATGGAAAAAAACAAAAATAACAAAAAATGGAGAGGATAGCATGCCTACTCCAGTAGTATGATAGCCAATAAAACCAAAAACTAATAATACAAACAGTAAAATAAAATATTAAGAATAAGAGAAAATTGTACAGAAAAAATGGTAGCACGCTGCACCATCAATCTAAAATGAGCAAAAGATAGAAATGTGCCACTTTGGTAGATTCTAAATGGAAGAGGAAGAAGAGACGGAATGTTAGAAATTTAGGGGAAATGGCTGAACTGAATGGCTTATTGTTTTGCCTTTTTAGTAAACAAAATATTTAAGAGCATGGTAATCAACTCAAGTTCAGTTTAACTGTTTAAGCCATAGCCATTAAGGAGTTCATCACAACCTCAATAAATTATTCACTAAAAAACAAAGCAATAAATCATTCTATTCAGCCATTTTCAATTGTGATCAAAGGCCCCCTTAGAGAGAGAGAGAGAGAAAATGAAATCCTATTCAAGGGCCTCAATTAATGGCTAAAGCTTTTAGGTTGAATAGTTCCTTAACATGGTCTTAGAGCCTATTTGACCAAGTGGTCTAGTGTTTGATCCTTATCACCCCATTATAATTAATTAAATTTTAGCACAAGTTTTAGCTTGAGAAGGCATGTTACAGAATAAAATCTATTCTCTATTCAAGGACCTCACCCAACAGCTTAAACTTCATGCCATGTTTTCAATTAAAAAAAAAAGAAGATATCTCACACAAAAAAATACATAGGTGGTGTTTGGTCCATGGTTCAAAAAAAGGATAGTTATGCTCAAGAACCATATCACCTTTTTTTTTTAAAAAATGAAAATACTGGTTTATGTATATAAGGAATTCATCTATTACCATTCAACTTTGATTGTATGACCATTTATTTATCATGATCCGATCCAATCCAAAATCCGATCTTATTTTGAATCAAATTCACATCACCCCTTATCTAATACAAAATAATATATATATATATATATATTGCATTTTTGTAATTTATATTATTTTTTTATAAAAAATGTGTATATATTGAAAATAGTTGAAAAAAATACTTGTATTTTTCTTTTTCTTTATATAAACTGTTATATTTTCCTTTTAAATTATTAAAATTTTCAGATGTTAAATCGAATTTGATCAGATTTGGATATCCAATATCCTTTAACGGATTTGGAATCGAATTGATGTTTGTGAGATCTGATCAGGCGAACCTACTATTTGTATTATTGGATTGGATTTGGATATTCACCATTCCAATCTGATCCAATCCATTTGTCCAAGAACAGAATCATTTGGTTACATTTGTGTTCTTTGTGATTTTATTCAAAAATCTATCTTCCATGGTTTTCAAAAAATAAGGGTTTTGGTGGTTCTAGAACTCCCAACAAGTTGAAAATGTTCTTCACAACGCTGGTTATGTTCATGAACCGGATTGAAATATGAACAGAACCACTTAAAAATAGACCTTAATTGTGAGAAAAATGCTGGAAAATTATAAAAAAAGAGAAGCATTCCACCTAAGTGTTTCCCTCCTTTTCATATATAATTAATATGGGCAATAAAATAAAGATATAAAAATATGCAATATATGGTGCCCCTTATAATTAGTGGTGATCATAGGGTAGGCCAAGTTTTGGGCCTATGACTTTAAATATGTTAGATTTTGATTTTAATTTTACATTTTAAAAGGATAATGATGAAAAACATTTAAATTTTAATTTTCCCATACTTTAAATGTCATAATTCGATGGTTAGATTTAAAAAATTAAAATATTTAAACAACCACCATTTGCAAAAAAATGAAAAGACATTTAGAATTTAATTTTTCTATACTTATTATTTATTTACAATCATTTAACTGTACTTAAAATGTCTTAACACAATGATTAGATTGGCAGATTAAACAGAAAAGTGTGGACTGGCCCATTTTATACATCAATGCCCGTCCATGAATTGGCATCAATTCTAAACTGGCACCTACCCCAATTATACTTTAGGTCTAGGAATTCTGACCCTGCGCTGAACCGTCATTCTCCCAAGATTAAAATATCTGTGCAACGTACCATCATTATTAGTAAACATTGACATTATATGTGAAACTACTAGAGAATTTAATATGGACTTAGATATAGAATGGGTTGAGTTGGGTTTGATGGTTCCTTTTCATTTGGTTGGGTCGGGTTTGGGTTGGACCAGCCCTGAACCTAACCCAATTTGTTGATAATATCATATCCCTACTTGGAACCGGCAATTTATTGATATCATTCTAAATTCATTAATACCCACTTTGTTATTCTCCTCTCTCTCATTCATTTCTTTTATTTTTCTTTCTGCACACATGTGCATCCACATGCCACAACAATTTGAATTTTACAAAGGTGTTTTTGCTATAAGCTATCTGTCATATTGACACAATTTGATAAGAAAGATCTTTCTGTTATAAATTATCTATCATATTAACATGTAATATCTATCATATTGGCATGTAATGCACATGATAGGGTTGAAACCCACTACCCTAAAGATCAATGGTCAATTTCATCATACAATCACAAACAAGGAATCAATCCTTTTGTAGCATAGGTGGTAGGTATAACTTTATAA